CATGCCTGTAATCCCAGAGGCTGGGGAGGCTGAGGCAAGAAGATGTCAAGTTCAAAGCCAGCCTCAACGACTCAGTGAGACCTTGTCTCTAAATAAAATACAAAAAGAACTGGGGATATGCCTCAGTGGTTAAGTGCCCCTGAGTTCCATCCTCAATAAAAAGAAAAAGTAACTGAGGGAAGAGTATTCAAAAAATTTTTGCTACAATACTGGGATAAAATTAGCCCTGAACAAAAACTGTTCAAGTCCTGCCTAATAAAGCTTAAAAATAAGACCTGAAATGAAATTTTAAAAAAAGAAAATAATAAGCATGAAAGAATAAAACTGTTTCCAAGTTAAATTAACAGAACAAAGTTCAGCAATATTCGCATCCATTAAATCATAATGTTTGGCACTGAACTGAAAAGTAACTTAAAAGTCATTAAGAAAAAAAAGAAGTCAATCAATAATGAGAAATTCAATGACCAAAAAAGGACCCAAAACTGACAAAGTTAGAATCTAAACAAGAATATTAATACAGCTATTGTCACTGTATTCTATATATTCAGAGAAGCAAGGTAGAATGTATAAAGTATCAAAGACATAAAATAAGAACCAAGCAGGTATGGTGATGCACACCTGTAATTCAGCTACTTGTGAGGTTACAAGAGGGATACAAATTTGAGGCCAGCATACACAACTTAGGAAAACCCTGTTTCAAATTTTAAAATGGCTGGCAGTGAAGCTCAGTGGTAGAGCATTTGCCTATCATGTGCTGGGTTTGATCCCCAGTACTGCCCCCAAAGAATAAAGAAAGAACAAAATTAAACTGCAAATAAAAAAGTACAATGTTCAAGATAGAAAATGCACTAGATGAGATTAACAGCAGATTAGATTACTGCAGAAGAAAAAAAGAATCAATGAGCTTGAAGACATTATAGTGGAAACTATTCAAAAATAAAAATGAAGAGAAAAAAGATGAGAGGGGAAAATAAACCCCACAGCATTACTAAGCTGTGGGACAGAAGCATGCTAATATACATGTAAGAAGAGGGTTGGACCCAAAAATGTATAATGTAATGGTCAAAATTTTTCACATTAGATGAAAACTACAAACCAACAGAGCCAAGAAGTTCAACTAATAAAGTACTAAAGAAACATTAAGAAGTAATGTCAAACTTCTCCCAAAAGAGTCATGGGGGGAAAAAAATCTAATTATAGGAAAATAGACATGTTAATAACAAGACAAATAAGATGTTATCCTTCTTGTCCAAAACAATGCAAATGAAAATTACCACAACATGACTGTTTTTTTTTAAATCGGTACATTATAATCGTATATAATGATAGAATCTGTCAAAGCAGTAGCTTCAAAATAGTGAAACCACTAAGAGAATGCTATGCTCAGAAAAAATATCTTTCAAAACTGAAGATAAAATAAAGATTTTTCAGACATAAAACTTGGGAGGGGGTGATCATAAGTCACAGACCTAGCCTAAAAAAAAAGTGTTAAGTCCTTTGAGCAGAAAGGGAAAAAAAGGACACCAAATGAAAATACAGATGACAAAGCAATGAAGAGCATCAGAAACAGGTAACTACATAGGTAAACAGACATTACAAGAGCACAAAGAAGGAGGGAAGAAACAACTATACTATTATAAAATGTTCACAGAATATACAAAAAAGTTTATTATCACTTGAAAGTAGATTGTGGTAAATTAAAAATGTATATTATGAACTCTAAGCTGGGCACTAAAATAAAACAAAGACTCATAGCCAAAAAACCAACAAAGATGATCAAATGGAACCATAAAAAGAAACATGCAATTGAAAGCCAGGGCTCAGAAAATCACGGAAAGAAGGTGTGGCTGGGGGGGGGACTGAATACCATAAAGATACAAGGAAGATTGGTAGAGAAGAATGAGAATGAAGGAGGAACAAAGAAAAAGAGGAAGAAAAATGAAATGAATTTAACAAAATCATGTTATATTCACATATATTTAGA